GTATGTGAAGCAAAGATTTATAATATATAAATGCAGGGCACAATTATTCCCCAATAAAAATCAGGATAGCAAAGGCACCATTTTGTTTATAAATGTCTGCATGAATTAAAGTTAATGATTTCAAACCAGATAGAGGAAGAATTTTCCTTGTCTCATAAGGCATCTTGCGCTCTCCCATGTAACAACAAATTAAGTGGAAAACTCCATGCCTTCAATAGGGTAGAATTCCCTCAGTATCACTGTTGAGAGATGGGTTTTGTCTCTTCTCACAGCTGTCTGGAATGAGCAGGTTGCAATATCCATCCAAACAGATCCTCAGCTGTAAAGGAAAATTCCAGGTATGTCAGGAGATGCCCTAGAGGGAAAAACATTTGCATAGAGGCCCATTGTCTCCCCTTCTTTTCTGTGAATCCCTGTATAGTAGCAATCAGCAACCCTTTCAGGCTGCAGGCTGGAATGACTCAGCTTGGGTCAGAAGAAGATGGATGGGTGCTAGGACCCAGCTACCTCTGCTTCTCCTCGCTGCATCATGGGGGAAGCCACCACCAACAAAGCCGCAAATCTGCAGGCCGGATCCTATGGCTCCCCGGACCAGTTCCAGCCCACAACCCATAGGTTGCCAATCCCTGCTCTGTGTTGGGGCCGAGGGGCTGTGGCCAGCAGCCCGGGCACGTGGGCCGGGGAAAAGGGTCGGCACGGTGAACTAGAATTAGGCACTAACGCGTAGAGGTTGATTAAAGATTATTTTACTTACACCGTAGGTGGTCGCGGTGCAGGCAGGAAAACTTTCTTGAGTTGCAGTTACAAAAAAACCCACATAAGCGGAGTTTGCTAGGCTCCACCGAAGACACACGAGCGGAGTTTGCTAGGCTCCGCTAAACGAACACAAACAGAGCTCTGGATACCACTCACGGAGTTTGCTAGGCTCCGTGGACCGTCCGAAATGAGAGTCCAAAAGGTGACTCTCCATGAGCGCGCAGGGTGGGGTACGTTGAGGGATCGTGCAGTGACGGGGAGAGGGTAGAG